TTTTTTCAATTAAATGATAGTCGTTATCCTACATTTAGATTGTAAACGGTCAGAAAATAGTGAAGAATGTCCAAAGTGACAGTTTGGTTGTCTTCCCTGATCAACAGGCTAAAACTCAGAGATATTCAACTTACAATAAAATAAATCAGAGACGCAGCAAATCCTCACATTTGAGAAGCTGCAACCAGATAGGCACCAGAGATGTAGCAAACATGTTTGGCATTTTTGTTTGATGAATTACTGAACGATTAATTGAGTATCACACTCATTGTTGGTTAAATTTGTATCCATGATCTAATGAATTCAACAACTAAAGAGTCATTTGATCAGCGCTAGCGTTGTAGCCCTTTTTTGCTGCTGCTGAGTGCAGGACACTCGCTCAATACTGGACCAGTTTCAAAAAGTGTTGCCCCCATTAGTCACGTAGAAAATACCGAAGTTACCCGTTATGTCTGGTCCATGCCAGATCTCTGTAAGAAAACATCTGTTTGGTGCAGATGATAGAATTAGAAACCTCTACAGAAAAATTAAGTTAAGTGATCAATGTAGACAGGTTCAAGAAAATGTCTTGCACCATCTAGACTCTTCCATTGTTTCATATGCAAAGTAAAGCTTTTCTCTTATTGAATCTTGAGGGAGAGCGACAGTAGAAGTTTATCTTCTACAGGTTTGCTCTTTTATTACAGCTGTTAAAGTCTGTTCTGAGAAAATGTACACTCGCTGCACACTATGCTGTTGATGTAGTGAAACTGGACATTATGTTATGTGTACAAAGTAATTGTTACTGAAATGGCTGAAATAGGAATGTCAGAGAGAATATAGATGGTGATACGCCGTTCAGTCTATGTACTGCAAAGTGTTACAACTACAGATTTTAAGAAAAAGATTATGATCCCAAATTTAGGTTTAAGTAGTTAAGTTAGTTTAATAATGGTGCCTTCCACGCCTTATGAAAACAACAACATTTGTATGTACTCAGTTATATGATGTTGTCAGCTGCAGGGCAGTGCAGACTTGTCAGGGCAATCTGTACATGAGGGTTTACCAACCTGTTAAAGGTTAAAGTGTCTGTAAATTGATTTTAATAGCATGCTGAAATCAATGGGAACCAATGGCTGCCTGGACGGTAAGAAATACACATTTATAAATGAAATGTTTATAAAAATGGAAATACTATACTACTCTATCACCAAAAGGTCCTTCCACAAAAAGTTGCCACAAAGTCAGAAGCACATTATTGTTTAAAATATCACTGTATTGCTTCAGCATTCCCATAACTTGAGGATAAATCAGTGCACATGTGAAGAGGGCTGTTCTGACCGAATGGTGTGCGTGATGTAAATTGGCCTAAACCTCCAGAACACTAGTATGGTTCATTAAGAATGTGAATCCAGAAATGGTGAGATCCAACATGGCTTCTTGATTTGTCTCCCAGAGGTGACCCGGACAAGTGTGACATCTGGGGCAACACGCCGCTTCACCTGGCAGCTGCCAACGGCCACCACAACTGCCTGTCCTTCCTGGTGGCTTTCGGTGCCAACGTGTGGTGTCTGGACAATGACTACCACACACCGCTGGACATGGCGGCCACTAAGGGACACATGGACTGTGTTCGCTACCTGGACGCCATCGCCGCCAAGCAGATCACCCTCAACCCAAAGCTGGTCGGCAAACTCAAGGATCGGGCATTCCGTGCCGCGGAGCGCCGGATCAAAGACTGCGCAAAGCTCCAGAGGAAGCACCGTGAACGTATGGAGAGGAGGTTCATGAAGGAGTCGGCGGCTTTAGACAACTTGGATGCTATTAGCTTTTCTAGCTACACCAGTGGCAGCACTCTGAGGAGCAAGTTCAACACTGTCACCTCCAACATGCCATACTCGCAGGTGGTTGCTCTTTGACTTTGTGTTAAAATGTAGCTGATAAATAGATCCCGCCCCACTTTCGGGTTAGTTTCTGTTGTTAATCTGCTTATTCCTGCGAGGACAGCTGTGTGGGCAACTAGGCAATCCCCAAAATATTTGACCACACAGACTGCAATGCAGGGCGGCGCAGTGGTGCAGTGGAGTTTGCATGTTCTCCCCGTGTCCAAAGACATTCGGCATAGGTTAATTGGTGACCCTAAATTGTCCTTGGGTGTGAGTGTGAGCGTGACTGGTTGTTTGTCTATGTGCGGCCCAGTGTCAGCTGGGATTGGCTCCAGCCCCCCGTGACCCTGTACGCAGGATAAGCGGTTGACAATGGATGGAGACTGCAATGCAATATCTTTGTTGAAATATTGAGCTTCACATTTTTCTGTGTTGTACAGTAGTAGATACTATTTAAGAATATGAATCATGAAACTGAGACAGAGCTAAAACTAAAAGGGGAGAAGGCTCTATACAGTAATTGTCTGTACTTTCCTCTCAGGCCACCCTGCATTCCACAGCCAAGGGCAAGCCCAAGATACAGAAGAAGCTGGAGAAGAAGAAGCAGGTTGATGGATCATTCAAGATCTACGAGGACGGGAGGAAAAGTGTGCGCTCGTTGTCTGGCCTGCAGCTTGGCAATGACGTCATGTTCCTCAAACAGGGCACATACGCCAACCCCAAGGAGCGGTCACGCCTCAACATACGTGACATGTTCCCGCGTGACAACAACGATGACGACGCTGACAACATCTCCCGTTCCATGAGCGACCCAGGCCTTCATGAGGCTGCGTATTCGGAGATCAGCGCAGACTCCGGACGTGATTCCCTGTTTACCCGACCTGGGCTTGGCACCATGGTGTTCAGGAGGAACTATATGAGTGGAGGCATGTTTGGTATCGGTGCACGGGATGAAGGGAGTGTAGCAGGGAGTGAACCTTTGGGCCGAGCACCTAATGTTCGTTTACGAGGACAACTGCCTCGACGCTCGCCCAGCTTTGATGAGGACAGTATTGGCAGCGCCTTGAGCCTGCAAGAGAGAAACATTCAGGAGGTGCCCTGGGTGGAGACTGACGTTGGGTTGGATCAGGACTTAGACCCAGAGAACAGTCCTCTGGAGACCTTCCTGGCCTCTCAAAGCCTCAGTGAGTTCATGCAGATCTTCAGGAGAGAGAAGATCGACCTGCAGGCTCTGCTACTCTGTTCAGATGAGGACCTCACCAGCATTCATATCCCTCTGGGCCCCAGGAAGAAACTTCTGGATGCCTGCAAGAGACGTCTGGACACCCTAGATGAGCCAGAGGCCATTGAAGACACTGAGCTTTGAAGGTCAGTAATGAGTGAAGGAGTACTCTCCTTTCCTACCTGATATACCTTTGTTGTTGCACATAAACTACTGTACTGCGTGAGAATATTGTGTAGAAGACATTCACTGCGAATGGTAGCCAGCACAGAGAACATGTGAGAACAGTAATAGGCGTGGATGGCATTTGTTAATGTTGAGCCTAAATCTACAGTGAGTCACTAAGTCCTAGCATGGCTGCACCCAACCTCAACCTGAGCATTTAATCAGCCAGAATAACTGAAAAAAACCTGTGTGGGTGTGCTGCAGAGCCCAACAGCTTTTTTTTTATCACCTCAATGGCCCCATCTACTGGCAACTTGGGATATAACAAGGTGAGATTAGGCGCTTTGGAGGCCTGCAAGCCTCTATAGTAGTGTGAAACTTGACTGGGTGTTGATGTTTCATTATACATTGTTATCAGAATACATAATGTTATTTTTCTCATTAATTACAGGATGCATACATGATGCTGGCTCCATGTGCTGTTATTATACCCCAATACAGTCAGTGGAAGCAACATGGAATCTAGGCATCTGACTGAAACCTGGACAAGAAGTAATAAACATTTTATGGGAAAGCTTTGCCACATATACAAACACACGGACATGCACAGCCTGTATTGTGTTTGTAGGGATTCTCTTCCAGTGACATGTAGCTAGTATGTTAGTGAAGCACCTGCTATGTTTGCATACTGTATTAACTCATGTATCAATGAACGATTTCCGTATTAGTGAATGCACCTAATCATTTGAATATATGTTTATTATGCCTTAATTGTACAGTTTTCTTACTTTAAACATGTGATTTTACTCCACGGCACATACACAATGGTGACTATTTATGGGGTTATTTATGAATGAAAAAAGCCACAGACTGACTGTTGCTCTGCAGACACTGTTGCAAAACCAATGGGGTGGCACTGTGTGTGCTAGATAACACTGTTCTCTCAGGTTACTCCATGGCATATTTGGTTTCACTGAAGGTCTGTCTGTTTATGCATTTGAGAGAATGATTGTGCATGAATGTAAATTTTATGTTTGTTTTTTTTATATCTGAAGATGTACCTACAACCATGATTATCTTTTATTAAAACAAAGTGAAAAATATTATTGCTTTATGTGTGAATATGTCAGTGTTTACTGAATATGTGCTTTACCTCTGTACCCTTCATGTGTCAATTCTCTGTTCTGTCTGCACAAAAAGTCCAGATGGATGATTAGCTCTTGTATAAATAAAAACAACAAGCTCAAGGCTGTGGGAGGATGTAAGCAGAGCTGATGTTCTTATGTTCCCTGGTCTGCAGTACCCGCTGTTCTGTGTAGTAAAACATACACATATGGTATCTAACTGCACACTGCAGGCAGCAAGGTCTCAAGGCCAGAACAGGACTGGCCTGTCTCAAATCTCCTGACATTAGATATGTGCACGCAACTCACATATATTCTCATCTGTGCCAGCTCATAAACACACTCCAACTAACATGGCACATTCTTGCACACCAGCATCTTCTCCTTTTCATTCTAGACCTTTCTCTAGTGAAGAAACAACTGAACAGCCCCTGTTAATCCACTCCTGAGCCCTCCTTTCTCCTTCTCTTTTCCCAGGACATTTGCCAAGGTTACAGAGAAGGGAGAGGAGGGGGTGGGGTAGCTGACACAAAGAAACACGAGGGGGTGAGCGACATGCAAAATGTACGAGACACCAGAGAGGAGGGAGACGTCGACTCTCAGCTGAGCAGCCGTAGTTTTGTGTGGCTGCCAGTGTGAGGATTTTTGGATCCATTGCGTCACAGGGCGGCCTCACATCTTTGGGCCGTGAAACAATAAATTCCACTGCTGCTGGACTGCATCAGGAGTCAGCTGACAGGGGAGGTGGGGGGATAGAGAGGAAACAGTAAGAGAGATGAGAAGGTAGGAGAGGAGGGTCCATGACGCTTTTGAAGCCGCAGGAAGGGGGCTGGGTTTTGCTGACAATGCTTCTTGCCAGTAGGGGCTTTCGTAATGCTTTGACCTGTGGACTTTGTGCTTAGAGTGCCGTGTGAGGCCAGCATTTAACGCTGGCCGGTGACTTTGTCTGGAGCAGGTCCTCAGCAGACGGGCTGACATGCAGACTGTACCGGAGGAGTGGAGGGAAGAACGGGATGAGAGAGGAGGAGATGGGAGGATGGGGGAGATGTTGGTCAAGAGGAAAGGAAATTCAGACTACAGTGAAGAGGTGAAGGGAGAGTGGGAGAAGAATGGGGGGACAGGTGGTGAAGAGGTGGAGAAAGAGTCACTGATGATGGAGCTGACGAGGCTGGTGCAGAAGATGGTGAAAGAGAGCAGCTGGTGGGAGAGGAGGGGAATCGATTGCAGCATCCTGGCAGCAGCATTCTTCTGTTTGCCACCTGGTAAGACTCTGTGGAAACTTCATACAGCTGCTGGGATCATGGGTTGGCTTTCTTTAATGGTCAAAAAGTCCTAAATGTTGTTAGTAAAGAGAGCAAAGATAAGTTATCACAGAAACTAGAAATGCTGAATACAGTATGTGTTTTACCTTTAAGGTGTTGTTTTTTTGAGTTATGGAGCATGAAGGAGTTACAGTGACAGAGAACAGAAACTAAATCTGACACATTTAAATTATATTAATGGTAATTCATGTTTGCTGTCCCTGTCCCTGCTGTCTTGGATGTAGGACAATAACCGCAAACATTAAAATGAATTGTATCTTTAGCTTTTTAACTGATAATTATTCTTTCGATTGTCTTCATAAATTAACAGGTTAGGAAGACAAAAGTAAAAATGAGTCCATAACAATCTCCTAAAGCCCAAAGCAACGTCTTACAATTACAGTTTTTGAAAATAGGCCTGCAACTAGTGATTATTTTTACTATAATTTAATCTACCAATTGTGTTCTCTATTAATTGTTTGGCATAAAATGTCAGCAAATAATGAAAAATGCCCATCATAAGCTCTCATAGCAGATGTTTTTCCAAAACCAAAATATTCAGTTTATTGCCACAGAAATTTAAGAACATCATAAAATACTCACACTCGTGAAGCTGAAACAATTGAAAGTTTCTTATTTTTGCTTCCATTATTAATTGATCATTACCCTTACAAATAAATCGTTCCGTCCCAAATCGTCTCATTGATTAATTGATGTAATCTGAAACGTACTCATGCTCCATCAAGCATGTTTGCATTTTTAAAATACAAACAAAGCTCATTCTCTCTGTCAGTCCCACACTGACTGTTTTACACATTCCCAGTATCCCATGGTTCCCCTGTATCTAGGTCACCGGTGGTCAGCTACTGACCTCAATTAGGACCAGCGTCTATTGTGTCTCATGTCACTCGATCATTGGAACTGACAGCTTTCAGCAGCACCACCACAGGACACCTGGTTCAAGCTTCATTTGTACTCTAGACTTGTAGACGTGCCTGCAGTTAACACGCATTACTATCCACTATACAGTTCCTCCCTGACTGTGCTATAAGGGTGACAAAAATACTCACTTCTGAATTGAATTTAGTCTGACACTGGAGCTGAGGAGGCATCTGTCATCATGTATCAAAGAGCTTGTGACTTATCACCTTGAAATGGGCTGCTTTGAAATAGGAGGTGCAAACTATTAGCATAGTTTTATTGGGTTAGGAAGGAAACATGTCAACTAAATCACGCTGTGGGAGCCAGCCAGAGAAGCCTCACCGGCTGCTTGTGTTGCAGGGTTATTATAGTTAAGAAGTCCACTCTGTCACCAGAGTACAACAACATCAGTACTGCATGCCATTAATTACTCATGAGATCCGAGTGAGGTCGTTTTTTCGTCAAACTGAATCTGTTGACCGTAAGAAATAAAGGTGTTTTAATGTTCATCAGTATTGGCTTTAATAATCAGAGTTGAATACAGGACAAAGATATCAAGAAAATCACAAGAAATTAAATGCAGAAAATGTTCATTTATGCATAATGTCTGTGAAGATTCTCAGTCATCCAACGAAGTTATCCAACTTCAGTTCTGAAGAAGTCCCTTGGATGAGGGACGAAACGTCTTCCGGTATCTTCAACCAAGTCCAGTTGCCCTTGATTTTAACCTTCGTTGGATATTTATGCACAATTTTGAAACCTACAGAGTGATTGCAAGGGACCTCCAGCACAGTCACCTCTTGTTAAGGATATTGTTTCATTCTTTCACATTCTCCCTGCCTGTCATGGTTGAAAGTCACCGCTGCTGCAGTGGAATGACTGGGTGGATGCTCACAGGCGACAGATACAACACTGCATGTTTTCAGCCGCATAGTGGTGCTTCTCTGGGGATGGCAGTGTGGGTCATTTGGTCTGGTGCTCCCACACTTTGGCTTGCCATTAAAATAGCCTCTAGTGAGACCCCTGACTTTTCATGTGGCAACAGTCAAAATTTCCAGTTTTCCAATGCTTTACTTTATGACTGAATTCCTGTCAGCCTAGCTGTACATTGTGAACACGTTAACTGTTAGTATGTCACTCTCTCGTGCTCACTATAGCTTACACACGGAAGCATACCAACATGCTTAACATTTCATGTTAAATGTTGTATACCATCCCTGCATTAATTTAATTTTTTCATCAAACACAGCAGTGAGTTTGACTTATTGTCACATTTTAAGTTGATTTTTTTTAGCATCCAACAGACACTGAGCAACATTAGTATTAATTTCTGGACACCTGATGAGTGTGCAATCATTATAAGCATTCATTATACACCTTTCACATTATACATAGTCATTTGATCCATTGTCATTGTAAAATAGTGATTATAGCAGCTTTATTTTGCATGTTAACCTGACTTAGTCTGACTCTGCTGACTTGATAAGGATGAACTCTGTGGTCTATCTTTATTTTGTTTCAGACAGACAGATTGGCTGTCTGAAACAAAATAAAGATAATCTCGACTTTGGAGATGGACCACAGAGTTCATCCTTATCAAGTCAGCAGAGTCAGACTAAGTACTGTTAACAGAGGTCTGAGATATAACAAGGTGCCAACCCATTTAGTGATTTAAAAACAAACAATAAGATCTTCAAATGTAATGTGTTCATACTTGCGAGTTCCAGTTAAAAGACAGGCAGCCGTGTTTTGGACTAACTGTAGGCCTAAGTGAGAGGAATGGCTAACGCTAGTGTAAAGTGCATTGCAGTAGTCCAGACAGGTTGAGATAAAAGCATGGATCACCTGCTCGAAATGACTAAAAGATAAAACAGATTCACAGTATTCTGTATCTGTTTGTCAAGTTTAAAATCCATCCATCCATAATAAAGTTGCTTATAGGGCAAATGTTAGAAAAGCAAACACACCTGAGGGCTGACAAACTTTTCAGCAACAGCTCATGATAATTCACATTGATGCCAAGTTACAAAAAAAAATTCCTCAGATAGATTACAGGTAAATTTCAGTGAAACTCGTGAAGTCCAAGAGTCCAAGTTGTCCTCAAACGTCCCCTGTAGGGTCCCCTTTTGGTGCCACCGTCCAACAAACTTTTATTATATTATTATTTTGCCTCACTCCTATTAAGGATCTAAGAATAAATAAGTTGTCTTTATTTTTCATCCATCCAGCAAATTTCCGGTGTGTAGTGATAATTGTAGCCTCATGGGGCCGCTAGCGTAGACTTCTATATATTAATATTGCTGAATGGTTAGAAGTCAGTAGTCACATCTAGAAAAATGACTCAATCAAGGATTGTAAAATAACATAATAGTTCCCCAAAACAGTAAATGTGTAATTAACATAAATGTAAACATAAAAAGTCAAGGCATCAAAACTTTTTATCTCTATCAATCTGAATTTGGATTGGAGCCTGTGTGCTCTGTCTTGCAGCCTTCCTGCTGCTCAGCTCCTCTCAGATCCTGTGGTTTTCAGCGGGCATGCTGCTGATGGGTGTGGCTCACGGTGTCATCACCATCAAAGGGACGCATCTGGCCAGCCACGGGGCGCTGAGCGAGTCGCAGGCCTGGGCAAAGTTCTGGGCCGTCTTCTTCATCGAGGTGAGATGTTCATATCATTAAACTGCTGAGGAAAAGCTTATTTTGGATTTGGTTATTATTCTCACATGTAGCTCTGTAGCAATGCACTTAAAGATACTACTGCTGGAGTGCCCTTGAGCAAGGCATTTAAAGGAGCGCCGTCACCACCCATCTTGCTGAGGGTTAGGTGAGAAGATCAATACCACTCTCATGGCTGTAGACAGCCGAAGTGTCCTTGGACAAGATCCTGAACCCCAACTACTGTCAGTGTGTGCGAATGTTAGTTTCTTCCTGATGAGCAGTTGGCAGCTTGCATAGCAGCCTCACATATGGACACTTGGTCAAAAGCCCTTGGTGTCTCTTTTTAATGGACCTGGCCCTCCCATCCACCCCAACCACCTCCCTGCTTTTCTGTTAAATATTCTACACCTACCTTCAGTGTTCAGAAACAACATTACAGGACTTCCCCCACTGCTTTAAACTATAATGCTAAGGGGATCTTCCATGTGACGCTTCCAGTCTGAGACATGAATCCAATGCGTCCCTTGAACCTGCATTCTATCAAACAGCCAGCAGGGGGCGACTCTTCTGGTTGCAAAAAGAAGTCTGGTTCCATTAGAAACAATGGTAAAATGTTTCTACGTCTCAGCTGATTTATTCCCTCAGTAAACACTTTCCTGATGAGTTTATGGTCTCAGTCACTAGTTTCAAGTCTTCTTCAACACAGCATGATGTTCATTTAGTAAATTATGGTCCCATTTAGAGGAAAATACATTACATTTACATATTTAGCTGACGCTTTTATCCAAAGCGACTTACAATTGTTATACATGTCAGAGGTAGCACGCCTCTGGAGCAACTAGGTTGCTCCAAGTGTCTTGCTCAGGGACACAGTGGGGATTTGAACCCAGGTCTCTCACACCAAAGGCATGCATCTTATCCACTGTTCCTGTGCCGCTGTTTGCAAAAACTCAACATGGCGGCGCCCTATTGGCCAAACTTGAGGCTTCCAAACAGCAGTCCACAAACCAACGAGTGACGTCACCATTACTACGTCCACTTCTTATATACAGTCTGCGGTCTCGACCATGTGTCCATATGTGATGACTTGGGAGTGAGAGCGGGTTGGTAAAGGCAATGGTGTAGTGTAAAGCACTTTGAGAGGGACTAGAAAGGTACAGTAAAGTACAGTTCATCTACCATTTAACTATACATTTTTTTTCTGCAGCTGCTTATCAATGATAATAGAAAAAAGAACTTTTAATAAAACTCGGCTGAAGCCAATTCAATGTTGATGTTCCTGCTTGGTAATTTTCATTTATTGTTTTAAGTGTTGCATCAGTGGTGGTTTTGTTGTTTGGATGTTCATAAACACGCCCATCTGTCCTTGTGTTCATCCACTCAGATTTGTGGCTCATTCTCAGCGCGAGCCGGCATTCAGGGCCACATTAAGATGCATCATGCTCATACTAATGTCATTGGACTCGGGGACTCCAGCGTATGGAAGGTCCCCTTCCTGCCTCGCACTGTCTACCTGTTCATAGCTCCCCTGGCCGTGCCTATCATCACTCCACTTGTTGCACTCGGTAAGAGGCACCAAAGGACCAAGGAAGGACAGACGCTTTATGGGTTTACTCAAGTATTTCAACTTAAACGTGATTATCAGCATAAAGTTGGGATAGATTTCTTACCTTCTGATATTGTTTAAAGTTCCCGTGTTACCTCGTCTCTCTAACTCAGGTGTGAGTTTATTCTCATACGTGTGATGGTTTCTGATTCTCTGGTTTTGCAGCTCACCTCAAAGGAGACTCTTTGGCTCACGTCTTTAGGACCATCCTGATGGTAACCCTGGGCCTGTATTCACAGTACTGGCTGCTGATCCACGTCTCCGGGTTCCTGTCACCTCACAGCGCTTTGCTCTGTATGTTTGCATGTCGAGCAATGTTCAGTGTGCCGTATATCCATGTCAACATTTTCCAGGTGAGAAGTACTTGCAGCAGGTGCTACAGTGCGATACCCTACATATTCAGTGCATATGTTCGCTACATGCTAAATGCCAAAATCTGCTTACTAACACGTTCCTATGTTCCCAGGGGATGTTCCCCAGATTTATATGGCACATAATGGGAACATGACAAACGGTCCTACGTTCCCAGGGCCCTATGTTCCCCAGTTCTAGAGTTAGGGTTCAGTAAACAGACTCACTCACATACTAACATGCTAATAATAACAATGCTAACATGCTGATGTTTAGCAGATGTAATGATTATAATGTTCACCATCTTAGTTTAGCGTGCTAACATTTGGGACTAGGACTAAAGGACTAAACACAAGGTGCAGCTGCGGACGATGGGAGTCAATTTAGTGTTACAGATATTTGTTTTTATGATGATGGCGCTTGATGAAAAATTAAGGGTCCACATCTGCACCAAATTTCATGCTGATCCATCTAATAGTCAAGATTTTCTGCTAGTCAATCTGATGGTTGTGCTAGATGAAAAGTCAGGAGGATTCACCTTCTGGGGACCATGAATGTCTGTAAAAAAATCATGGCAATCATCCAGTAGTTGTTCAGATATTTCAGTCTGGACCAAAGTGTTGAACCAACTGACAGATTGCTGTCAGAATGCCTAAAAATTAATTTTGGCTTATTTTTAAACGATCATTGTGTTTGTAGCTTTTCTTAAGCTTTCGGTCACATCACATATGTGTTCGACTCTCTGGCTCTCGCTCTGCTGGCTAATAATTATGAGAGCACTTCTTGTTACTCTTGCTTCTGAGAAACTCTTGTTCAATGCAGCATTGTGTTCCCATAGATCAGACCATTTAGAGAACTAAAGGGATAAAAAGGAACAATTCATGCATGATTTTCCGAGATGGAGTCATGCAGGTCCTTGTGCATTGTACAAAGTGTGTGAAGCTGGATTAGAAAACACAGGTTTTGATGTGAAGTCAAGGGTCTAGAGGGGAAAATGTTTGTTCTCACTGGGGGGTCAGGCTGACTCTCCCCTGTCTCCTGGGTCTGTCGTTGGCCTTTGTCTTTTCTTCTTCCCCCTGTACGCAGAGTTCCCCTGTACTTCCCCTGTACTAGCCGAGGATAACCTTTGGTTTGGTTGACTCCTTTGAAAATATTGTGTGATAAAACTCTTTTAATTTCCTTTACATATGAGAAATAACACATATTTTACACATTGACACTGTATAGAAAGCATACAATATACTTTATGTTCTTTATTTTGCAAGCAGTGGTGGCGGTTTTCTTCTTGTTTTGGTCAATTGATGTGAAACAAATTTAAATTTGTGTAACTGAAATCTAGTTATGTTGAGCTGCTTCCTGATTTACCAAACAAACAAATAATTACCTATCTTGTGGCCCCAGACATCCAGGGACCCCTCAAAACCCCCAGGTTCACTGTGGGGTTTTTGTGGAAATTTAAATAGGGTCAAATCTGCACCACTAAATAACAGTTTCATCTGAAATGTTAAGGGCCTTAAGTTGGTGCTCATTGACTAATCATGAGGCCTTGATTCAAAATCTAATACCTTTATTTTTTTCCAGTAGATTTTAGGCTAATATTTCACATTTTCCTTTCTTCAAATTACATTTAGGCAAACATGAAACTTAACAGGATATGTGTTGTGTAATGCCATTTATTTGATCAGTGAAGTGTATAGAATTGCACTCCAGTGGTCTTTGTTTGAAAAAACTTTGTTTATTATATGAAAGGTAAATGTTTCCTGATGTGAAATGGATTCAGTGTTTAAGCTTTTTGAGTATCTTGCAGTGCAGCTGGTGTTTCTGTATCTTAAAATAAATAGTAGCTTGCAGTTTCACTAGCTACAGTTTCAAACAAACTTCCCATCACTGGGAGCCCACAGCTTCATAGAAGCTAAATACTAAAGCATTGACTTTTACATTTTGGGTTGTAGCTGTGTCCTACGGACTGCAGTTACAAAGTCTGACCTTCTGAACAGTGTGTCACTATTGTTCGTTTTCAGTGGTATCACCATCCATCCATCCATCGTCAACCGCTTATCCTGCGTACAGGTGGTATCACCATAAATAGATTATATACTCAGTGGTGGATTGTGACAAGTACATTTACTCAAGTACTTTACTTATGTACAAATGCAAGGCACTTGTTCTTTACGTAGTACTTCCATTTTCTGCCTCTTTCTACCTCTACTCCACTACATCTCAGGGTACACATATTGTACGTTTTACATTTGGAAGCTTTAGTTTAGCTACTTTTCAGATTAGAGTTTCAAACCTATGATTTTTAAAGTCCTGTGAAACAGATAGATTTATTGATTGCGTTAGTACTTTTAAGGATCTGAATACTTCCTCCACCATGTTTTTCACTTAAGAATGAAAGACTTTGCAAACACCTGTTGACAAAACGGTCCCACCACAAGGCTGCAAGCTATTCTGGAGCTTTGAATCAATGTCAGACAATCTGCAGTGGAAGATCATGTGATACAATAGAAACCTCCAGAACATCTATTAAGTGGAGATTTTTTTTCAACAGATTACATCCTGCGTGTAACTCATCTGATTGCATAGACATTTAACCAAACTTGTCTAAAACTGTGTGTAATCCGCAGCACATTGGCCTCCACATGTTCTCTCCGACCCGTCGACCAAAGAGGATCTACCAGATGACCCACGGAGTCCTGAACCTGCCGCGTAATCCAGTGCTGGACTGGATTTTTGGACACTCGCTCATCAATTGCCACGTGGAGCACCATCTCTTCCCCTTCCTGTCTGATAACATGTGTTTAAAGGTATGAAATAATTAAACCCAATATCATTACATAACGTCAGTTTTTTGATTGTGTTGTTTTTAATTGTGGCTGCATAGTCGCTGTCTGCTGCTGGAGTTCTTCACCTTTGCACATAAAATACACTTTTGTAATTGCAGAGAGAGAAAAAATCCTGGCGTCTTGGGCATGAGACATAGCGGGAAACTTTAGCTACAGAGCGTGACGGGAGATTTGAAAGACAGTAACATTTACCAAACAAGAACGGTCTAACAAAAAATTCTGTTGAGTTGCATTATGGAAAATGTAGGATTCTGTGATTAAGGGAGAGCAATGCTAAATCTGGAGTAGCCCTTTACACATATCTAAAATAAACACAGTACACTCAATATTCATTAAGACCACAATACTATCTGGAAAGTACAGGGTAACCGCCTCAAAATGCAAATGGGAGATCCATGGACGATCAGATTATTTGTCACCCTATGCACGCCGCACACCTCCGTGAAGCTTGAGGCTCAGCTAGCATCTCAAACCGACCATTCTTATCGACACCTAACACACATCAAACACCAAGCATCTAAATAAACGTATATCACAACATAAATCGCTCTGTAATTACTGTACATGGCTGCACAAGTTGCCATATCTCATCCCACGCCGCAGTGCGACCACTCTAAAGAAAGCTCAGCTCCAGCTCTGTCCAGCCGCGTAATCCAATCACTCAAATTGCAAAAACAACAAATGCAGACATATACATTTACATTTACTTCTTTTTCTTAAGTTGAAAGGTGATCCAAATAACACTTGACTGCTTTTGCAGCGTCTCTACGGGGGAGTCGCGGTGTTGGTCTGTTGTTTTGCCCTCCAGGTCACAATCTCCATTTACTCAAAGGAGACCTAAGTCTACATGAAGATTTATGTATCTAGGACTAATGGTTGAGGAGTTATTACTGTATTTATTTTGGGGATGTTATTATACGCATTTTTTCCTGAAAACAGGTGGCCGTTTCTTAAGATTTTGATGTAGGCAAAGTGAATATTTGTAGCCATGGATGTCCATTTGTCATTGTTTACACCTGTAAAACTGTGCACGTGTCTGTCTTTGGTGACTCTCCAGGTGAAGCCTGTTGTGTCCAAGTATCTGACTGAAAAGCAGCTTCCATACCAGGAGGACAGCTACCTCTCCCGCCTGAACCTTTTCTTCCACAAATACCAGGAACTGATGGTGTTTGCCCCACCGATCACAGAGCTGGTGGGAGTGCAGTAATGAAGAGGCAGCGAAGGAGAAAAACTGTTCAGACTAATGACTGCTACTGCTCAAAAGCACAAGCTTCGATGTTTCAAAGTGCATTTCTACTGGTTTGAATCATCTCTAACAAACAGAATAGGCTTTTAATCAATAATAGATCTACACATTAAAGATGATTGTATTTTAATTTGATATTAGGAGCTAAATTAACATGAAATCCTCATAAATGATTAGATTAAGGAGTATCCTACACTTGTAGAGGTAATTGAATACACAGCACAAAGATAAGCGCTCAACCAAAAGATGACTTGATTTGGTTTAATTGTTGCTGCATTGAAAGTCACTGTGGGAGATTTGAACTGACCTTGGGCCTGTCTCATGAAGCAAATTCAACTTAGTGAGGCTCTCTTTGAGATGTCTGCTAGACCTGGATAACTGGTTTTACAAAGAATGTTAACAACCGCCTCCTATAACTCTGGATGTAACAGTGACAACAGAGGATCATATTCTGGAGATGCCTACTGGGAAGCGGCCGATGCAGCGGTAGAAAAGACAGATTCATGAAGTTAGTTACAGAAGCTAGGCACAACATAACAGCAATAGAAAAATAATGCAGCAACCAAAATGCAGTAACAGAATGTGTTATAAATAACTGTAAATGTACAGTATTTTATGGGCTTTAACACACTTTTTTTTGTACATTAAGTATGATTTATTGGCAGTTTTCATAATGCAGTTTTACAGCTACAAATCAAATAAATCAAAGTTGTGTGCCTGAACACTGTAGGTCACAGGTAGCCAACAGGTATATATATATGTGTATGTGACAGTAAAATGCCTTTACCTTTAACTTAACTGAAAAACACTGAACGGACAGGTTACTACGGCTGCAGCTGGCTAACCAGCTGATCCTGCATTGTGAGACAGGCCTGTTTTCATAGTGACAGACGGTGGCGCTGTAGTCAATAGACATGTTTAATTCACAGTGTCCTCATCTCAAAGGCACATCATTGACTGCACTGTAGCTCCAGTACAGAGGGACATAGAGGTGCTTCTGTGTGTCTGTCTTGTCTGATAATAAATTTAACATTTAATTTTCAGGATTTTTTTTATTACCTTTCCTGACACATACATATATAAATTTATATATAAATTAAGTTGTTCTCTTATGTTCCTGATTATATAAATTGTTACACACAGGAAATTAAAGTACCCATAATTTTTTTGAAACCCACATATAGTTATAATAAAAAGTTTGGACTTTAACCTGCAGTGTGGAACTTTTGTTTCATCTGTTTTTGTTTCTTTAAGCAGTATTGACAGATTTTTTGCCGGTTGGGGCCAGCAGAGCCATCTGTGAACACAATGTCAACATGTTGGACGCATTTGACTTCATGCGGTGCGTTGCAGCGCCGACTGAACATGATGCGTGCTGGTTAGAAATTGTGTCCAACTTTCGCCGGCGCTGCAAAACTTCAGCATGTGACATGACATCAGCTGCTGCACTCTCCACTATGTTCACCAGCTAGTCTCTAACTGTGTCTGTCTGCCATTTGGTGCTGATCAATAATGTGAGGTTGCAAAACATAAAACCAAAACAATGAGCAAAAATGCAGTGCAGTTGTAACTCAGAGTTCATCAGTACGAGTAACTTCTTTCACATTACACTTAATCATTCGATCAGTTCTTATTACATTAAAAACATTGATTAGTGCAGTTTTAATTTCAGAGGTCTCACAGGTTTTTGCTGTTGTTTCTGTTAGTGTGGTAGATGGCTTCAGTACAGAGAACAAAACATTCTCTAAAACAAAATGTATGCAGAACAGAGTTATTGTTTTTGCAGGTCCTGCTTTCTAGACACTTTTATGACTTTTTCTTACATCCCTCTGGGCTGCAAACAAGAATAAAGCCAACAAAAAAATTCCTGCAGTCTTTGTTCTTTGATGTATCATCTCTACCAGCTGCAGACTTTCCTTACTGCTCCATTTAGTTTTCTTTTTGTTTCCATTTGGGTCATTTTATTTCACCACCGTTTAAATGATTTGAATCCATTATAATCTGTTGTTAATTTCATGTGTATTAAAGATTTCACACAAATAAAAATAATGTTTGAAAAACTAACTTATATTCCAGAATAAAATCACAGAGAAAGATGTTTCAAAGAGTTTCTAAAAACAAAAGAGCAATGGGGGCCAACAGAGCTGACTGGCTGAACACATGTGATTAATCTCATGATCGCACGACAGCTGCTCTAAATGTTCCTCGTGCACTTCACTGTGAACAGGAGTGAGTCTTATTTTTACCTTAGCAAAGAACTGTTTTACTCACTCTTTGCTACAAACATTTCTCTAATAAGCTCAGGCTCTGGTCACTTGCTGGCAGAATCCACATTGATTTTGCTGATTCATTCAGTATTTTTGCATTTTAACTGAATTTTCCTCTTGCACTTTGGAGTTGCAGAAATGCTCACATGAAGAAGGCTGCAGCAATGATTTCCTCAGTTTTATCAAAGAAAGTTGAACCATGCAGTAACAGTTAGTGCTGTCAGAGAGTTCATCAGCTAAAACATCTGTAAACAACAAACAAGTGTCAGTCTGTCTTCAAACACAATGCATGTGGAAGCAATCGTACTCCTCTCTGTTGTCTTCCTCGTTTGCAGTTTGGGCTCCACCCTGTGGTTTCTTTTTCCTTCAGGGAAGGGGAGGGCAGTGATAGTGTGTGGGGGTGTATCAAAGTTTGCTGGCCCGCCTGGTTACATGTGAGTGCTGAGGGGGCGGATAACATTTAGACTGAAAGTCATTCACTGACATTCTCTAGGTGTGGTTTTCCAGGCTCTTCCAGACTCGTCAATGTGATCCAGGAACTGCCTGCTGACAAAAGTGGCCGAGCCGGTTATTTTCAAAGAGCATAAGAGAGTGGAGGTGAAGTCAGGCTGACAGAGAGAGACTGAGGACATGGCAGAGAAAGCAGCTGAAGAAGCAGCTCCCACCTCCACACAGCAGCTGTGTGGCGTCTGCTCAGGTGCGCTGAGCGGAGACAAGCCGGCAGCCTGCGGTCACTCTGTCTGCAGCTCCTGTCTCGGGGACAAAAGTAAAGGATGTCCCGAGGGTCAACAGAGCACCGACAAGCCTGAACCTGCCGACAGTCCCAAACAGAACGGAATACAGGCTGAAGCTCCTGTGAACAAGAGCAAAGAGGACCAAAGTCAGGACTCCAAGACGGCAGAGATCAAAATCCAAGAGGATCTAAAGGAGTCTGAGGACACAAAGAAACCTGAAGAGGAGAAGAAAGACACAGAACCACAGACAGCTGAAGAGGTGAAAAATGGAGCGAAAGAGGAGGTTAAAGAAGAAGGAGTAAAGGAGGAACCTTTGGGCCCCGACGATGTGGTGTGTGACTCGTGTATCGAGAGCCCCCGCAGGGCCCTCAAGTCCTGCCTCACCTGCCTGGTGTCATACTGCGAGGCCCACCTCCGGCCTCACCTGGAGAACCCAAAGTTTCAGAACCACCGGCTGGTGGAGCCGCTCAGAGACATCGAGAGGAGGACCTGCGAGAGCCACAAGTGGCCCCTGGAGCTTTTCTGCTGCGCTGACGCCTGCTGCATCTGTCAGGACTGTGTGACGGAGGACCACAGGGGCCACAACATCATACCTGTGGTGGAGGCTCGCAGACGAATAGAGGCGAGATACTTTTCTCATTTTCTATATTGCTTTTATTTCATCAAAATTCCTCTAGATGATTAAAAACAAAATGTTCTGTAATAGTTTTGATAGTCAATTAATCGTTAAAGCCAGTGGTTCCTAATCTTATTCACTACCCAGTGTCTAATTGTAGCATCTCATCTCAGGCTGTAGCTCAGTGTGGACACAAACTGTGAGCAGCTAAACCAAAGTAATAATTTCCTCACAGATTTGTCCTCTTTGAAGGATTTTAGAGACCTGGAGAGATCAAAGCATCCAGGATTCCACATAAACAGACTTTGTTTCTCATACCTCAAATGATTTGGCTGGGAACCACCAGTCTAAATCATTTATCAAGCAAAATATCAAACATTAGCTGGATTCGCACAGTTTGTTGCTTTTTATGTCACAATAAATTGAATATATTTGGGTTTGTGGCCTGTTGGTTGGACAAAACCAGCACCACAAAATCACAAAATGTTGGTTTTTATAAACTAAATTATGAATTATCAAATTATAATAATCCTTTGTTAGTTGCAGCAGTATTTAGACATAAGTCAACGTTCTCAAATTACACCAAGTCTCCCGTGTGGTTTTGTTATCTGACATCTGGCCTCACTGTGTTTTCTTTTGTTGTTTAATTTTAAATCTGTTGCAAGGCAGTCCACCACAGTTTGAGCAGAAACATGAGGATTAAAATCATTCTTATTGAGTTATAAAGTCAAACTAAAATAATAACATCAACATCATAAGATCAACATATGGCAGCACAAGCTCCTAATCCTTGAATCATATGCTTTCAGAGACATGCAGCTTTGATGGATGTAACTTTCAGCACCAGTGGACACACATTGAAGTCACATTGAAGTTGTTCTTACATGCAGCTCTGATCACTTTAAATCCAATTTCAACAGTAATTCAAACTTTTCATCCACGGTAAAGCTCAAATCATGGAAGGCCTCGCTCTGCATGATTAAGAAGATTATTTAGCTTCTCCAGCCGTCTGTCTACTCAGATCTATTGATGCGCAGAAAGCTCAAGCTTCAGCTAAAGTGTTACCTCTCTCTCACAGTTCGTGACCTTCAGAGATCTGAAGCTTCTAGCCTACACCTGGTATCTGCAGTGTGTTTTTGCAAAACCTCAAACTGCTTCATTAGAGTTGTAAAGCAAACACAGTTGGGAGGCCTGTAGTCTCGGTAAAGCTGTTTGAGAAAGTAGGTGAAAACACTAGTCGCACACTTTTAAGTTTACAATCACAGCTCAAGTTACTTACATGCTAAACTTAAAAATCTCTAAATGTGTATGAATAGAAAACTAAAAGGGAAATTATATTAAAGTTAAAATGAAATTAGGTTCTGCTAAAGAGGAAATCAACTTATTTCCACAGGACAGAAACAAACTATAAGAAAAACAGAGTGAAATAACTTCCCTTTCAGAGTTCATGTTCCACATTAGCACACAAACAATTCTTCTAGAAAACTCATTGCGTGACTCACACCTCTGTTTAGCTTAATCCTACTGTCCACTGCCACTAGCATTAATGCTAATTTACGAGAAATAATTTAAAATTAAATGAATAAAAATCTTTTTTATTATAATTCATTAAATTTATTAATTAATTTATTACTATTGTTATCCATGTTCTTTTAAATTTTACTACTACTGTCAATAGTTCAGTTTTTTTCTGTTTTGCTTCATAAGACACAAACACAAAACATCCCCACAAACATTAATTAATATAGACAAGAAAAGTCTATAATAATAACAATATTAATTATGATAAGAATTATAATGAAACAATGAAAAATTCGTACAAAATTTAAATGAAGTACATATCAAGTTTTGGTTAAAACATCATCAACAAAACATCATCTACAAAGAAATTCAGTTTATTCTTTGAAACAAGCACCATTGCAACTGCATGTGGGACGGGCATTTGTATGTACATGACACAATAAATAACACAACTACATTACGTTACATTACATTGGATCTTGTGTTGTTGACACAAAGCGGAGTGAGCTCCAATGACTTTCCTCAGACAATACAGTATTATAGCTGCAGGATCTTTCTATGAACTTTGTAGGTTCGTACATGTTACAACTCTCTCAAAGTGAAATGTAGTGTTACCCTCAGGGTCTAAACTGCAACTTTAAGGAAATATTTGAGCTTGAGTAGGCCACCGTCTTCAACTCTGGAGTTGTCTGGACCTGCCAGAGGAATTCAGAGTGTTAAAACAAGCTAATGCTTTGAAAACCACAAATGTCAGAGTGACCCTCCCCCGCAGAGTAGAGTAAACCGAGAAGAAACACATTTGTTCTGAAGAAACAACCTCAGTCTGCCAAATACTTAACATCTGTTAGGATCCGGCATGTTTTCAGCACAACAGTGTGGTTGTGGTTCCTGCGAGGAGACGTGCTGAATTCTGTTCTCTTCTTGTGTTCACAGAAGGAACTCAGTGAGAAGCAGACTGAGACCGTGAAGACGGTGACAGCGGCAGAGAACGCCATCAACAAACTTCAGCTCAACACAGTCTCTATTGAGGTGAACACACCACATGACTAACCAGAGATGAACTCACTGAGTGTGTGTCACAATATTTAAATATCAGTTGGCGGCAGCTATTCCTGTCTTTAAAAACCTGAGGTATTTGAGCCACCCAAAACGGACAAGTTTTTTTTAAGTGTGGGAGGTGAAATCCATGTTTTTACGTGGTTGATAGTAGTGGTGAGGTAATGAAACATTTCCTCAATTAGTTACGTAATTATTGTAACACCCAATGCAGCCACTGCATTCCTTATCTGTCATGCGTCAGAGCCTTTGCAATGAATCACTTCCTCTCTCAGAATGTAAAGAATGCTCAGGCCAACACAATGTGATCTGAAACTAAAAGCGCCTTTCCACAGCATTCGGTGACCGAGGTAAGAGTTGTGATCGAGAGCCAGTTCGAGGAGCTGCAGGCGTTGGTGGAGAAGGCAAAGCGGGAGGTGACGGAGATCCTGGAGGGCGAGCAGAAGCAGGCACTGAAGCAGGCCGAGGGCATCCGGGTTCACCTGGAGCAGAGGTGCACAGAGCTGAAGAAGACCCAGGGGCGGATAGAGAAGCTCTCCAGAAACAAAAACGACGTTGATTTCTTACAGGTAACACTACCAGAATCAAGTCTGAGATACGATGCTGTGGTTCATTTCTGTAGGGCAAAGTCATGCCTAAAGGCTGCAGCAATCCTCATGATCTTATCCCTGAATGTCACTTTGTTCTGTAGGAGTACTCAAAGTGGAAAAAAGAAGCCACTGATATTTCTCTGCCTGGGGTCTACATCGGCCTGATGGACCGTTTGAAATCCTTCAGCCGCGTGATCGTTGACTCCACGCAGGAGCTGCATGCCATGCTTGTGTCCTCATACATAGAGAAAATCAAAGAGACATGCAAGAACGGTGAGAACAAATAGCACAAATGTAGATAGTTGTGTGTCTGGCCATGTTCACATGTGAAGAATTTCCCGCCTGTGCTCAGGTATGCAGTGGTGTCCCTATATATGCATACAAACCTTCTGTGAGCTTCATGCGTCACCTGTTTTGTGTGTCACCTGAAGAAGGTGAAAGACAGACAATAACTGCCTTTTTTTTTCAATGTGTTAACAGAGACTGACATGTATATTTTTCCATTGCAGACAAAATGGGAATAAAGACAACAGTTCATGAAATTGTTGCAGCAAAGCAGAACCTGTCTCTACCTGATCCAGTGACACATGCCGACTTCCTCAAGTGTAAGTGTTTTTGAATTTTTCGATTACGGGCCATTAGTTGAGATACTGCAGTCATGATTTTAGAAATTTTGGGGTGACCACATCCCTGAAACAGCATCAGCAGAAAACTGTGAAGATCACATCATGAAATGTGTGCATTTTAGAGCAAAGTGGAGCTGAGTCAGCTTAGGCCTACTAAACAGGCTCTGAATCGGATAAATCAGGTGTATGACCTTAATAAATAATAAAGAAAAACCTGGAGGCCTGGAGGTGGGAAGAAAAAGATATTAATCAAAACTTTTTCTGTAAATGTTTAACCTGTTCAAACACGCAGAGACAGGCTGCACCCTTGATTGGATCTCAATCTGAACTCTTAACGCTGCATTGTTTCTGCCTGGTTTTCTTAGAAATGCAGTTCCAGCAGTTGTTTCCACATCATTCTCAAAGAGCCTCCATCCCCCGACCCTCAAATCACTAATTAGGAAAAATAACAAACAGAGCCAAGTTGAATTTTAACGAAATAACATTCTCAAGAACATCAGGGGTATAAAAAGTATCTAAGCAAATTAAGAAGTCCTACTTTAGTAATAGTATAGAAGAATTATCAGCTAAATGTACTTTAATTAAATTTTCCCAGAGAAAATATTTTTGTGAATAAAATGTTATTGATTAGTTTTATGTCTTGATTTCTTAAAGTCTTTACTTACTTGTGTATATATACATAGTATCTGAGTAGATACACAGTATCTCACAAAAGTGAGACATTTTCACTTAGGGGTGTCCTCACTTTTGTCACCAGCGGTTTAGACATTAACGGCTGTGTGACGGGTTATTTTGAGGGGACAGCAGATTTACACTGTTATACAAGCTGCACACTCACTACTTTACATTGTAGCAAAGTGTCATTTCTTCAGTGTTGTCATGAAAGATATAATCAAATATTTAAAATATGAGGGGTGTACTCACTTTTGTGAGATACTGTATGTGTTATATGTTATTATGTATGTATTAGTTGTTGTTTATACATAAATTTTTCTTGCAAGATATATTTTGTTTACATGTCTTGACTGGGGAAAAGATTATAAATGGTGGATATGACCTTGGAATACAACTGTGGTGACCTCAGTGGTATTTGCAGTCCTGATTGTAGTAACATTTACAACATAAGTCAACAAACATTTATCACAATCCTCTCCTAGATGCCTCCCACGTGAGTTTTGACGCTGATACGGCTCACAAGTTCCTGCGCCTGACAGAAGAAAACCGCAAGGTGACTAACACCACACCCTGGCAGCATCCTTATCCTGATGTACCTGAGCGCTTTGAGAAGTGGCGCCAAGTTCTGGCAACAGACAGCTTCTATCTGGGGCGACACTACTTTGAGGCAGACATGAGCGGCGAGGGGACACACATCGGTCTGACCTACAAGAGCATCGACCGCAAGGGAAATGAGAGCAACAGCTGCATCACAGGAAACGACTTCTCCTGGTGTCTTCAGTGGAACGGCCGCACCTTCTCCGCCTGGCACAGCAACGTGGAGACCCCTCTCAGTGCGGAGAAGTTCACTCGTATCGGGGTTTATGTGGACTACACGCGAGGCTCGCTGGCTTTCTACGGGGTGGATGACACCATGACGCTCATCCACCAGTATAAGACAGAGTTCCTGGAGCCTCTTTACCCGGCTTTCTTGTTGCCCAAGAAGGAGAATATCGTGGTCTTGGTGGCACCAGGGGAGCCATCACGGCTGAAAAGCCCCTCTCCTCCTACCTCACCTGCAAATGGAGCTGTTGTTTCAAAAATGGCAGCATAGCAATGATCAGAAGTCAATTTTAGTAATAATATAAGTGACAATTCAAAAACTTGTTCATGTACTGTTGCATAAATATCTCCCAACCATAGACTTATTATCTGAAAATACGAAAAGCCATAATAAACCTGTTTACAGCAGCCACTTCTTTTGTTAAACTGCTAAATTGTGAATGTTTTTCTCATGTTTAGTAGCCTGTATCTGAGCTTTGGGGCTTTTCATCACACTGTGAAGTCCGAAGGGTCCTGTATTTTCTGTATGCAAATAAACATTTGCATCTTCATTTACGAGTAAAAATATTTGTTTTTGTTTCAATAATTTGTGGGATCATCTGAACTGTTATTATGGATTACTTTGGAAATTATTTTAAATAATTGGGATATCTGACACACGGACCACAAACATTTGGTGGATGAACTGGGAAATGATTTTGACTGTTGTACGGCACTCCTGTGTACAGAAAGTGGTCATGACTGAATAATAATAAAATAACCAAATAAATGAGTCCAAAAAAAATATAGATGATGTATTCACAGCTTGCCAGGACCTCGGACATGTCAGAATCACATACTGTGTATAGTTAATGTACAAGTTCATGGTAGCGTTTATTGTCATTGCCTGGTGTTTAAACCAGAAACACACAAAAACAGGTACAAGTAAAGTTCAGATCTTTCTGCCTGGTGTGCTTGAGGGCATGTGGGCAGAAAACAGGTGGTCTGGGCCCTGTGTCAGAAAGCAGGTTTGGGGAAAACTCAGATTTTGTTAAACCTGCTTTCTGACACAGGGCCCAGGGCATGCAGTGTGTATAAATAGATGGAGGTGACTCATTTCCAATATAATGGGTTGGTGGCTTGGTGATGGCACAGTGGATAAGACTACTGTCTTTTGGTGTAGTACACCCAGGTTCAATTCCCTGCTGTGACACACCTATGTGTCCCTGAGCAACACACTTAACCCCTAGTTGCTTCAGAGGCGTGCAACCTCTGATTTACAGTACATAGCAATTGTAAGTTGCTTTAGATAAAAGTGTCAGCTAAATGAGTAAATGTAATAATTAGCCCTGCAAAACAGAAGAATTCACAACACTGTCCAGCATTTATGCATGAGAGGAACGAAGGGGAGAAAGTTTGGTTTGTATAGTATAGGGTAAGTTTCCTTATATGGACATATGCAAAGTTTTCATTAATGTGCTTTTGTATAATAAAGTCTAAGTTTTCTTTTGTATGTATATGAGTAATCACAGCGTCACAAAACACACCCAGAAACTAACTTGGGAAGTCAGAGCGTAACAGAGGAGAGACAGACGTCATCACCATGTATGTCACCTGAAAACACGCATACTAAGTATGTTGCCACCTATAAACTGTCACCAGTGCCTTTCAATACATGTTTATATTATATATATATATATATAAAATCCCCCTCTCACCCCTTGCGTGGTGGTATGTGTTGGGAGTTTGAGGGTTCTGCGCAGTATCTTAGCTGTTCCTAGGACTGCACTCTTCTGGACAGAGACCTCTGATGTTTTACCTGGAATCTGCTGTAGCCACTCTCCCAGTTTGGGGGTCACGGCCCCGAGTGCTCCGATTACCACTGGCACCACTGTTGCTCTTACTTTCCACATCTTTTCTAGCTCCTCTTTCAGCCCTTGGTGTTTCTCAAGCTTCCTGTGTTCCTTCTTCTTGATGTTGCTGTGTCTTGGGATCGCCACATCTATCACTGCAGCCTTCTTCTGCTGTTTGTCGATCAACACGATGTCTGGTTGGTTAGCCGTCACCAGTTTGTCAGTCTGGATCTTGAAGTCCCACAGGATCTTAGCTCGGTCATTCTACTACCTTAGGAGGTGTCTTCCATTTTGACCTTGGGACTTCCAGCCCATACTCATGGCAGATGTTCCTGTACACTATGACAGCTGACTGGTTATGGCGTTCCATGTACGCACTTCCTGCATCTTACACCCTGCTGTTAAGTGCTGTACTGTCTCAGGGGCATCCTTGCACAGTCTGCACCTGGGGTCCTGCCTGGTGTGGTAGACCCCAGCCTCTATTGATCTTGTACTGAGCGCCTGTTCTTGTGCCGCCATGATTAGTGCGGGATGTTGATGGGGCAGGTCTCTAACAATGTGGGCACAACAGTCACTGAATTCCGTTGCTTGGTCAATGTGAGTCCCGTTTTGATGAGACCGGATTTTCAGGGGCAGAATTAAGTCCATGCTGGGTCAGCACGGCTCCTCTGGTTAACTTTTCTCTCCTCTGAGCAAGTACTGCACCCTGCATGGCACCTGGTCCGGTTGTTTGGGCCAGTTGGATCGTGGTCTGTTGCTTTTTATTCCAAAAAGCCCATCTTCATCTCTCCAATGACTGTAATTATGTTGGAGGTGACTCATGTTTTGGCAATAAAGCCAGAAAAAAACAATAAAAATCAAAAGTGCTGCCAGTTTCCATTACTATGTATCAACAAGCTTTTTTTAATACTGTAAAATACTGTGCATATCCACACTCCTTATATTTATATTTTTAAGTATGTATATTTTGTAATATTTTCTACTTACCTACTTTCCCTTATTATTTCTATTCCTTAATATTTTGACGTGCAAAGTGAGCAATTGTAACAAAACAAATTCCCCTTTAGGGATCAATAAAGTATTTCTGATTGTTATTGCTGTTATTTATTGAACAAACACACAAAATATATACAAGTACACAAGGTAAACTAAAATGACAACGTAACCACGTCATTGACGCAACAATATACGTGGCACGTTTTGGTCACCTGACCACGGTGGACAGTGACGTGTGTTCCAACTGAGCATGTAACCAGGAAGAGCCTGCTCAGATTTCAACATGTTAGCAGAAGTAAGTCACAAATGTTAATGTAAATATTTTATCTGCCACGTTAATTATACCAAACAGAAAGAGTAGAGGCACCTAATAGAGATAAAACCGGCGAAAAAGTTAAACACAAATCAAATCCCAGCTGATCGTGCTAATACTGCTACTAGTTAGCTAGCACGCTAATAGTAGCTATTTACATTTTTTCCACCATCAGTGTTGATTTATCTTCATCTCAACGCGTCTAAAACCAGTTAACGGTACAGTTTTCTCCAGATAAACGCCCACAACAGTGTTTATTTTCAGCTTGTATCACTTTATCGCCAGCTAATTGCCAGCTAACGTTAGCTAGCAGCTGTAGTGTCTAGCTAGCTAAAGAGAGCTAACCTACGTTGCTTCTCTCTGCCCCGTCTTTATAACCATCAAACTAAAAAGTAAACTCGCAGATTAAATCGGCAGCAAACATCACGTTGCCTTGAATGCTTATTAGTCATGTGGGATTTAAGCAAGCAAAACAGCTTCGCATTGAACAGTTTCCGTTAGCAGCTTGTGACCAACTGTCTTTTCTGTATTGATCAGGATACCAATGATGAAGACGTGTCTCTGTTTGATGCGGAGGAGGATGCTGGGAAGAGGTCAAAGAAGACGAATATTAAGTAAGTGAACTGTCTCTCAGTACTTGTTGAGCAACTACAATAAAGTGATTGCACAACTATTGTAATAATCGATTAATTGTTTCAGTCATTTGTTCAAGCGGGTGGTGATGGAGCAGTGGATAAGACACATGCCTTTGGTGTGAGAGATTCGGGTTGAATCCCCCACCCATCCACCAGTGTGTCCCTGAGCAAGACACTTAACCCCTAGTTGCTCCAGAGGCGTGCGACCTCTGACACATATAGCAATTGTAAGTTGCTTTGGATAAAAAGCGTCAGCTAAATGAATAAATGTAAAAACGCCAAATATTTGCTTGTTTCAGCTTCTCAATTTGTGAGAATCTGATCCTTTTTGTTCTCATATATGACGGTAAATACAAGTAAATACATTTGAGGTTACTGTACTAAACTGTTTCGGACAAAACAAGCAATTTGAAAACATAACGTTTGGCTGTTGGAAGTTATTATGGGCATTTTGCACTAGTTTGTATACCAACCAATTCATTAGTTGCAGCCCTGCAGTACATTTGTTATTATTTATCCAAAGCGACTTACAATTGCTATACATGTCAGAGGTCGCACACTTCTCTTGGGGTCTTGGGACACAATGGTGGATGGGTCACAGTGGTGGATTGACCCCGGGTCTCTCACACCAAAAGCATGTGTCTTATCCATTGCGCCACCACAGTATGTATTATTCTACCACGTAGATAAAACATGCTCAACACTGCATTAAACGTGTTAAATATCTTTTACAGGCATCCAGTGGCCTCCTTCTTCCACCTCTTCTTCAGAGTGACTGCCATCATCGTGTACCTGTTATGTGAGATTTTGAGTACAAGTTTCATCGCCTGCATGGTTACAATAATCCTTCTACTCTCATGTGACTTCTGGGCAGTAAAGGTTTGTCTTCTACTTCTTTTACAAGTTACATTTTCGCCTGTCAGCAACAGGATTTGTTGTTAGTATGCTGATGTTAATTTAGGGCCAAAATTATGTGTATTTACAGAACATCACTGGGAGATTGATGGTTGGTCTAAGGTGGTGGAACCAGGTGGATGATGATGGACGCAGCCACTGGGTGTTTGAGTCTAGGAAGGTGAGATGCTCCTTAGCTTGTTTCTGTGTGTGTTAAAGTAATGGTTCTGTCCCATACGTGGGTCTTTAACCTCACATGATAGTGACCCTTTGTACCATATAAGGGTTGATAAATGTGCTTGTTTACTGTCCTAACTGTGAGAACATCCTGTTTTCTTCAGGATACTGGGAAGCAACAAGTGTCAAATTCTGAGTCCCGAATCTTCTGGCTCGGACTGATCATTTGTCCGGTCCTCTGGGTCATCTTTGCTTTCAGCACCCTCTTTTCCTTCAAGATTAAATGGGTGGTAAGTCACTGACTTTAAAGGATAAATGTCAACAAAGCCTCTATAAAAAAAAAAAAAAAAAAATCATTGTCATCACCATTGTGTTGTTCCAACTTTCCTACATTTTCTGTGGCACTCAGCACCAAGTCCAGTCCCTCCAGGATTTCGCAGGCCTTTTTTGAGATTCTTGCGGCCTAAAATGCCTGATTTTGCAGCAGCTTTTCTAAAAATATTATGTTGATAGTTGCGATGTTGAGGACCTTTTTTTGCGATTGAGTTGTGGGAATAAGTAAAAACTGCAAAAGTAGATGTCATTTTTAAAAAAAATTTGAATTATAGTTGAGTCATTAAATCTCTCCAGGACTTGGCGGGCCTAGTCCTAACCCTGCATATGTAAACCAGCTTACCTTGATGCTTTTTGTGCAGCTGACTGGGATGCAACCGGCTGTGTCACAGTAATTTGTCTTGTCTGACGTCCTCCATGAGTTTCCGCAACTCTCCGTGTATGTTATGCGGTGGCAAAGTGTTTGTCAATAGACAATTTCCTTCTACGTTTGACCACAATCCTGCATGTTTTGCAAAACAATTTACCCACGCTGTGTTATAGAAGATCTGGATCCTGTTCTTCACCTTCTTTACTGTTATCTTTGCAGACAAATGTGAGAGACGTTAGTATCACACACGTCAAATTTGTGGAAAAGTTCCTGTGATTGATCAAAATTGCAAATCATGAATCATCATGAATCATGGGGATTTGTTGAGTTTGTGTTAATAGTTGCAGTCGCGACTATTAACACAAATTACGGTCATAAATGCATTGTTTCATCTTTAAAAAGTAATTTAATGAAACACAAATGAAACAGGAAGAAATAGTGCATTTGTTGGGGACTATTTCCAGCTGCGGATGAATCCACATGTGGTGCTTTAGTGAGGACGTATTTGGGACAGAGTCAGAATGACCTACATTGTCTTCATGCTGATGAGTGAACATGTCAAAATTGAGGATCACTGATGTGTTTTGATGAGCGCTGTGGCTCAGAGGAAGAAGAGATTTCAGGCTGTGGATACACACTATACTACTACTACTACTTACTAGTAGGATCAACTCATTGTTGGATTTCGTCTTTTCATGGGATTTATTGCTAATGAGAGAAATATAGAACATCACCCTGCATCTGTTACTGTTGTTGTCAAATCCTAAAACTCTCAAACTCTTGACTGTCCCCCTCTTGTCAGCCTGTAGTGATCATGGGTGTTGTGTTGCAAGGGGCCAACCTCTACGGTTACGTGCGGTGTAAAGTGGGAGGCAAGACCAGCCTAAAAAATATGGCTACGAATTATTTTGGACGACAGTTCCTCAAACAGGTGACTTGATTTCTGAGTACAAATCACTGATTAGTCACTTTATTTGTTGTTTAATAAATTCTCACGTGTGTCGTGTTTTTCCTCCCCAGGCGCTGTCTAAAGAAGAGGAATCGTAGTGTCCACTCTGCGATTTAACCGCGTTTGCATTATTCTTAATGCTATAATATATATATATATTCTTTTAGCAAGTGGATACGTAGAAATCTTTTTGCAACTGAAAATAACATTTTTGGGGATTTTCTTTTTAATGTAATGTGACTCAGTCAACAGAGAGAGTTCACTTTGTTTTCCTCTGAGGTCTGGTAGCTGTTTTCAGTAACTGAAGCTCAGCAATAAACCCTCACAGACATGAACTAATACTTCAGCGTAAATGCATGAGTGGATAAAGGGTGCAAGGGCTTGACACGTAAAACCGACTAAAAAATTGTAGTTTCATGTGTTTGTAGTCTCACAGCTCCCTGACGTGTATTATTTAGTTTATCTTTCTTAGTTTTCATTGCCTCCTAACTTTAATCTTTATAAAACAAAATATAAAAAGTAGTTTGTGAGAGGAATAGTACAAACATTTGTTTGTATAATAGACAAGGTTGTAAAGTAAGAGTGTAAAGTATTCCAGGAGATTTGTAAATATGTATGTAAAGAAACTATGTGGAACATCTTCTTTTGTGCTAATACATTTGTACATTTTTCCGAAACAGCGTGGTCGTTTTTATTTATGCACTTTAGTTGTTACACTTTTCAACTTTTGAAAAAGGTACCGAGTTAAATCTGATTTGTTTTCTTTGTTGTTTGTTTGAGGACACATCAGGGATTTTTTACTGTGGAGACCCAACGTGTCTAAAAATAATAAATAAATAAAAATAGTAATTTAATAGTAGTAATAATAATAGTAATTTCACATGAATGAATACAAACAATTTAACAATATCACCATGAACTGCGGTTTAGTTGCAGGTCAGTTTTGTTTCGTTCTAGCAGTTTTTATTTAGATTTTGTGTAATAACCACCGTGATTCGTAATTCTTTTTAAAATCACAAAATCCTTGTCAATCAAGATGCAGAAGTCAGAGTCAGTTTGATGCGGAGAAATGGAGACCTATATTACATTGAACAAAATTATAAACAACACTTTTGTTTTTGACCCATTCATCATGAGCTGAACTCAAAGATCTAAGACTTTCAGTGTGGCTTTTTATTGCGGCCACCATAAGACACACCTGTGCAGTACCCATGCTGTCTGATCAGCATCTTGATACACACCTGTGAGGTGGATGGATTATCTCGGCAAAGGAGAAGTGCTCACTAACACAGATTTTGACAGATTTGTGAACAATATTTGAGTGAAATAGACCTTTTGTGTACATAGAGAAAGTCTTAGATATTTGAGTTCAGCTCATGATGAATGGGGGTAAAAACAAAAGTGCTGCGTTTATAATACTGTTCAGTAAGTTAACGGAAGACTGATGCCTTTTAACCTTTTGACAGCACAGAGCTGCAACACAACTATTTACATAATTGATTAATTGTTTTAGTCATTTATTCAAGCACAAACCACAAACATATGCTTGTTCCAGCTTCTCAATTGTGAGGATCTGGATACATTTGGGGTTTTGGAGCGTTGGTCGGACAAAACAAGCAATTTGAAAACATCACCTTTGGGCTGCGGTAATTTATAACTACTTTTTATACCAGCCGATTAATCAAGAAAATAATTGCCATAAACTACCGCCCAGCGGTAGGGAATTAATTATTCTACCGTGTGGATAAAACATGCTTTATGATGCATTAAATGTTTTGGAAATCTGTTACCAGGCATCCAGTGGCCTCGTCTTTCCACCTCTTCAGATTTATAGATAATAAGATGGGGGAAGAAACATTTAATGCTGAGTTTAAAAATCATTATAGGATTATTTCACTGTTTACAGTTCATCAGTATTTACTCACTTGGTTGTATACTTAATATTTTAATATTTTATTTATTTAATATTGAACACTTTGGGTGTGAATGTTTTGGTCCTTCAGCGACCCCCTGCGGTTTGTTTGTGTCACTGCATGTAACGTACTAGCGGTTGGCCTGGTTATCGGTTACCGTGTTTGGCCGGTATGAATGACCTCGACTGTTAACGTCACAATAAGTATGCAAACAAGATTATAATGTTATTAAACACGAAAAACATGGCGTGACTGTTGTTCCAAACACTCCCAGGATCACCGGGCGGTCACGGAAAAGGAGCCTCGCCTTGTTGACGGTGTCAAGTTCACATGCGTACCGGAACCTGAGAGATGTTACTTTCAAAATAAAGCCTGTTCATTTTCATTCAAATAAATGTAGTAAATGTTTTATTTAGAGGTAAATTTGGAGACGAACGTAACCCACCAAAGCACATACGACATGTATCTCTAAAACATATAACAATTGAAGTTACTGGTAAGTAATAAGTATGAGGTAACTGCATATGAGCTTTACTAGATTTATCTCGAAGTTCATTTGACTTTTTAGTATCACAGATTAGTAGTTAAACATCTTGAAGGAAGAAACCAGCGAGTGGGTTATTAGTTGTAACCTCCTGGTCATTTATTTTAAAAAATAGATATTTTATTATTATATTTTTATTAAATATTTAATGTACATATATAGACCAGGGGTTAAGTTGTCAACAACATTTAAAAAAAAAAAATAATACACATAATCAGCAGTTGAGGCAATTAAGACTTCAAACTTCAAAGGCTTTGGGGTTTGTTTCATTTCATTGATAAAACTTTTGTGGTTACAAATTTAACTTTTGAGAATGTACTGCTGTCTTGCTAATATAACAAAAATATGTATGATATAATTTTGTTTTTGTTCTAAAATGCAGCCACCATAAAAGCCAAACAGCGCATCTTCGGACAGCAATGAAAACTGGACAGAAATGTCACCGCAGATAAGTTCTAGTCGTTTTATTTTGAAAGTCCAACCGGAAATATGTGCCTTCTAACCGCTAACCCGCCTAGCTTGACCTCGTTGCTTGTAGCTAAACACAACAGTAGCTTCTGCTTGTTGCCGTTTTCCTTTTTTTTATCATCTAAATCGACCTGCTGGTCTGTTTTAAATCACTGGTGACCGTCCTTTGATGGGAATTACCTCCAGGATGATTCCTACCGAGGATGCGTCCGCCAGGAAGCGGGAGATAGAGGAGAAACTGAAGCAGGTCAGACATGGCTCGGGGAGGAAGGAAGCGCCACAAACGAGCCTTGTTTTAAAAATACTTAGAAAATTGTCTTAATTTGTTTATTTAAATGTTTAATTATTGACACATAAAATGTCCCTCATGAGAGAAGTGAGTCGTTTGTGTGTGATGTTGCAGGAGCAGGAGACGCTGTCATTCATCAGAGAAAACCTGGAGAAGAGTGATCAGCTGACCAAGGGCATGGTGAGATGAAAACACACACACGCCTAATCTAACAATTTGAGACCATTCAAACCTGGACTAGATTGACAGTTTCATTTAAACTGGGGACAAAGCAATAGTCAAATATGTTCTGAACAAATAGCTTGCAACAAGAAACCAACAAAGGAAGTAAATGCTTTGAGAAAGGTTTTATCTGCACAATAAGAAAAAACATGCAGTGCAATTTAAATATAGAAGAAACAAATGTGAATTGTCCAAAAAAAGGTAACTGATTGACCTGCCACCTGAATTTTATGTGTCCTTTTATTTAAATAAAGACATTTCCACCATACATTTGTGCAGGAGATTAAGTGTTTAATGCTCAGTATTCTATTGCAACGTTGAATATTTCTCAACCCAATATTGTGCATCGTCACGTCTCAAGTGTATTGTTGTCACATCCCTTATCTGAGCCATGATGTCCCCACCACTTTTCAACACAAAGTGACACCTTTGGTCTCAGTACACATTTTTAAGTCAGATTTGGTGTTACTGACACTCCACTCTTATGGTTTAAAATCTAGAAAGATATCAGTTTGTTTCCATTAGCAGCTTTAGGTCTCCCTCCTTTCCCCTTTCTCATGGTGTCTCCCTAGGACTTATTATCAGTTCTTGGACCATTGCTGTTCATTATTTACTGTCTCCCTCTTACATAAATTTCATCAACATGGCCTCAACTTTCACTGCTATGCAGACGACATACAACTCTACATCCGCACCAAGCGTTCAGACACTCGGCCACCATCTAACCTGATAGTGCTTAAATTATTGCCTCCCTTTCCTCATGCAATACCACATGTCATCTTCGTATTATGTGTTAAGAAAACAGAGATGAGATGTTCGGTTGTGTCTTTATTCTTCTCAGACTTCTTGTGGAGGAGTTACTGCAGCAGATTAATGCCCGTGTCCATTTTTGACCTGTGTTGTTCATTCTCGTCCTGAAAGGTCTCCATCCTGTCTTCGTTCGAGAGCCGCCTGATGCAGCTGGAGAACTCCATCATCCCAGTCCACAAACAGACAGAGAATCTGCAGCGTCTGCAGGAGAACGTGGACAAGACCCTGTCCTGCATGGATCACGTCATCAGCTACTACCACGTGGCCAAAGACACCGACAGGATCATCAGAGAGGGGTGAGACTTTGGCCTGATGGGTCGATGGATTGTGAACAGAGGTAGAAAACGTTAGACGTGTGATAATTTTGGATCTTTCTGTTTCAGGCCGACCGGCAGACTGGATGAGTATCTTGCTTGTATTGCGAAGATTCAGAAAGCTGTGGAATATTTTCAAGATAACAACCCTGACAGCCCCGAACTCAACACAGTGGTATAGTATTTACTCTTTATATTCATGTACTCTCTCTTAAAGGAATAGCTCGACATTTTGGGAAATGCAGAGTCAGAAGATTGAGACCACGCTCATGTCTGTACGAAGCTGTAGCCAGCATCCGGTAGCAAGTCTGAGCACAATGAACAATGAAAGGCCAGGAAATAGTCTGGCGTATAGGCCTCTGTAAAACTTGTTGTTTTCATACTTTGGTTTTTGTATAGATTAAGCAAACATGATATAATGTGTTACCTACTTTAGTTTACTTTTGTTACCTTTGGACAGAGTCGGGCTAGCTTTTTACATTTGTGTCCAGTCTTTAAGATAAGCTGAGCTAAGCTAACTGGCTGCTGGTGGCTCCATCTTAATATTTAATAGACAGTGGTATCAATCTTCTCATCTAACTCAATAAAGAGAGTAAGTATTATTCTCAATGTCAAACTGTTCCTGAGTCATTTCAAGAACAACCAGCTAGTTTTAAATATCAAAAGATGTGTCGGGGTAAATAATTTTATGTGTAAGAAAACAAAATGCAAAACAGACAAAAGGTTGTTGTTTCTCTGCAGAAAGCTCGCTTTGAGAAGGGTAAAGAACTGCTGGAAGCTGAGTTCCGCAGCCTCCTGACCCGCTACAGTAAACCCGTTCCCCCCGTCCTCATCCTGGACGCCATCAGTGTCGACGACGAGCTGGAGGTCCAGGAGGACGTGGTGCTCGAACACCTGCCTGAGGCCGTGCTCCAAGACATCATCTGCATCGCCGGCTGGCTGGTGGAATACGGACGCAACCAGGGTACGGCTTTATTTGTTAGTCGTAGCCTGTGTGGTGCTTTTATTTCCCGCTGTGCTCCTCTTCTACCTTTCCTAGCTTTCTCCTTATCCTCTATTAGCGTTCCTGTATTGCACGTCTCACACAGAGATTCAGGCGGTCGAATTAGTGTGCATC